TTTCTTCTGAACATCCAGCCCAGCACCGGTAGTCGGGGTGCCAGGAGGAGTTGTGCTTCTGTGCCAATCACCTCTGAGGCGGCCTGGACTCCCTCGTAGGCGGCCAAGATTTCCTTCTCTGTTGGGGTGTAGTTGGCTTCAGACCCTCTGTAGCTCCGACTCCAAAATCCCAGTGGTCGGCCCCGAGTCTCATCAGGCACCTTCTGCCAAAGGCTCCAGGACAGACCATGGTTCCCGGCTGCAGAGTAGAGCACGTTCTTCACATCTGGTCCTGTCCTGACTGGGCCAAGAGCTACTGCATGAGCAATTTCCTGCTTTATCTGGGTGAAAGCTTGCTGCTGCTCAGGGCCCCAACAGAAATCATTCTTCTTACGGGTGACCAGGTAGAGGGGACTCACGATCTGACTGTACTCAGGAATGTGCATTCTCCAAAAACCAATGGCGCCTAAGAAAGCTTGTGTCTCTTTCTTGTTGGTTGGTGGAGACATGGCTGTGATCTTGTTGATGACATCTGTAGGAATCTGACGCCGTCCATCTTGCCACTTCACTCCCAAGAACTGGATCTCTCGAGCAGGTCCCTTCACTTTACTCTTCTTGATGGCGAAACCAGCTTCCAGGAGGATTCGGATGATTTTCTCTCCTTTTTCAAACACTTCTGCTGCTGTGTTCCCCCACACAATGATATCATCAATATATTGTAGATGTTCTGGAGCCTCACCTTTTTCTAGTGCAGTGTGGATCAGTCCATGGCAGATGGTGGGGCTGTGCTTCTACCCCTGGGGCAGTCGGTTCCAGGTGTACTGCACTCCCCTCCAGGTAAAGGCAAACTGAGGCCTGCATTCTACTGCCAGAGGAATGGAGAAAAATGCATTGGCAATATCAATAGTGGCGTACCACTTCGCTGCCTTGGACTCCAGCTCGTACTGGAGTTCCAGCATGTCTGGCACAGCAGCGCTCAGTGGTGGAGTCACTTCATTCAATGCACGGTAGTCCACAGTCAATCTCCATTCTCTTTCAGATTTACGCACAGGCCAAATGGGGCTGTTGAAGGGTGAGTGGGTTTTGCTGACCACCCCTTGGCTCTCCAGCTCTCGGATCATCTTATGGATGGGAACCACAGCATCTCGAGTTGTTCTGTACTGTCGACGATGCACTGTTGAAGTGGCAACTGGTACCTTTTGTTCTTCTCCCTTTAAAAGTCCTACTGTAGTTGGATTCTCAGACAGTCCAGGCAAGGTGTTCAGTTGCTGGATGCCCTCTGTCGCTACAGCTGCTATCCCAAATGCCCACCTGAGTCCCTTTGGGTCTTTAAAATATCCCCTTCGAAGGTAATCTATGCCCAAAATACATGGGGCCTCTGGGCCAGTCACAATAGGGTGTTTCTTCCACTCATTTCCTGTCAGACTTACATCAGCTTCCACCACGGTAAAGTCCTGAGATCCACCTGTCACACCGGCAATAGAGACAGATTCTGCCCCTACGTGTCTCGATGGAATTAACGTGCATTGTGCACCAGTATCAACCAAAGCCTTATATCTTTGTGGGTTCGATGTGCCAGGCCAGCGAATCTACACAGTCCAGAAAACACGGTTTTCCCTCGCCTCTATCTGGCTAGAGGCAGGGCCCCTCTAAGCCTGGTTATCCTTCTTGCCTTGGGCGTATGTCATAGAGGTTCCTTCAAGGGGATCAGACATGTCATCATCATCATCATGCCTGGCAGTTTGGCTACGGGCAACTGGAGCTGCTCTCCTTTTGGTGGCACTTCCTCTCTGAATCTTACCTTCCTTCAATTCACGCACCCGTTGTGCCAGAGCACCAGTAGGTTTTCCATCCCATTTCCTCATGTTTTCTCCGCAATCGCGCAGGAAGAACCACAGCTCAGTTCGTGGTGTGTACCTTCTCTCACCATCTGAGGAACGTCTACGTTGGATACCAGAACCTCTGATCTGTACTGCTGAGATTTGGAGAAGGTCTTCCTTTATCTCCTCCCTGAGTCTCTTATGATTCTCCTCTATCTTATCTTCTAATTTCTGCAGACGTGTTTCCACTGCTGCAATTCTGGCATGGGTTGGGCCATGTACAGCATCTGCATATGCTCGGAGTTTCCTTGCCATTTCGAGCACGGTCTCATCCCTCTCATCTTGCTTCATTATTGCTAAGGCAGAAGCGTAGTCATGTGGCCCAAGCCGTACAAGTTTTCGCCACATCACAGATGTACATGGTACCAAGTCTGGATTCCTAGTTGTTATTTCATCTGAGAAGATAATCTCTGCCACTGCCATTTCTCTCAGACGTTGGATTCCTTGTTCTATAGTCTTCTACTGGGTTTGCTGCATATAAAGATCATCTGCACACAGGTATCTTTGTGCTACACTTTCCAGAACTCGTGCCCAGAGGCTGTGAGGGTTAGCCCCCCTCATCATTCCTTGATCAATAACAGGATCATGTGACAGGGATCCCAAATGTCTTGCCTCAGTACCATCCAGAATTGTAGCCTCGCCTGCAGCATCTCAAAGACGGACCAACCAACTAATTACAGACTCATCAGGTCGTCGGGTGTAATCCTTCCTTAGGCCACGAAGGTCCTTTAGGGAAAAGGACTCAGTATTGGCTTCTGATCTTGTACCAGTTGCTTTGACTTCTGATTTTATGTCAGCAGGCATTGAGGGTCCCTCTCCTGCATTATCATCATCATCGTCATCATCCACTGGTCGATTGGTCTTTTCTGTGCGCTTCCCACTTCTTGTGCTAGTAGCAACAGCCATAGGTTGAGGCTTGGCTGCTGAGTCTGGTTTAGCTGCTGGCTTTGAGCCGGGGGTGTTTGCTGCAGCCTGAGTGACTGGGATAGCTGCTGATTTATCTCCCTGCCCCCCTTCCTCTGTCTGCTGCCCTACAGTATCTAGCAGGGTGCGATAAGCATATGCCAGGGCTCAGCTCACTGCAATGATCTTTTTCTCCTTAGAGTTATCATGGCACTTCTCTTTCAAGTACTTCGCCACCTCAGCCGGATTCTGAATTTGTTCACTAGGAAAGTCCCAGGCTATAGGGTCAGAAAATTCCTTTAAAATTTGGCCCATCTCCTCCCATTTCCCACACCACTCAGGATTTCTCACACTTGGGTCTACTCCTGGGTCAGAGGTCTCATCAGCCCCTCTAGAAATCTCAGCCCTCATTCTAGAGAGACTGCAGACTGTATAGAGAAAGCTTACTAGATTAAACACCAGGAAGATGGTCTCCTTAACAGTCAGGGGAAACTGAACATTCTCTAATAGGGAGGTAACAAATTCAGAGGAGAAGAAGGAAAGCAAAGGCTGAAAAGCCTCATCCCCTACTTCCCCTCTAACAAACTGGCTGTACAACCATAACCATGAACCATACATTCCAGGAACAGACCTCAGCACCTTTATAAACCCTCTGGAAGCTATTACACCCAAGCACAGCACAATGGATATTCTGGTCAGTGCCCTTCTACTGCAAAACCTACGTATTAGGGACAATACCGGAGCTATTCCTGGATAAAAAAAATAAACCTAGGGACCACAGGGGGATTAAGATCTGAAAAACCCCTAGGGACCAGAGACATATGCAGGCCTTCACCCCAAGAGACAATATTAATTCAAACAACATAACCAGTAACTGCTCCATACCCACACAAAATAATTGGAACAAAAATATGATTACAACAGGGTTTTTTCCACTCTCTCGAGCCCCGAGTTGGGCGCCAAAATATTTGTCCTAGTTTAGGGCAAATTTGGGGAAAACCCAGGAAATAAACCCCCACGGCTCTTCTCCACCCACCTGGTTCAGGGAAAAAATCCCTCTGAGAGAGAAATGGAAAAGAACTTGTTTATTCAACAACAAAGCACTCCCCAACACCAAAACAATTAACACAAGATGACAACAAGACTCTTTCACCCCTCTGAAGAGCTGAACAAATCCAGAAGGTCTTTCCTGGGAGTGGTCGCCCGGGTCTGGACGCTGGGGATGGCTGCTGCAGATCTCCAAATGCAGGCTCCTGGTGTTCCTTGGTGTTTCTCAGGTCCCAGTCCAGAGCAGGTTGAATGATATTCAGAAAGAGGAAAGGGAAGAAAAAAAACAGTCCAGGGAAAGAATTGGACTGCTTAACCTAACTAGGAAGCAAAGCAAGAAAGCAAGAAAGCAGGCAAAGCAAGCAAGCCAAGCAAGCAAGCAAGCAAAGCAAAGCCAGCCAGCCAGCCCTAGCCTTTTCTAGCTTTCCAGCAGACATGGGGGGAGGTGAACCAGATGATAACACAGCAAAACAAACCTTCACTTTCAGAGTCAGTTCTGAAAGCACAGAACATAATATCAAACGTAAACAGAACACACGATTGGAGATACAAACACCATAACAGTCACCCTAGGACACTTTCAAACCTAAATTCTTCCATGATCCTACAATTTATATACCAGGCAGTACCAAGGAGTTCTCTCTTTCACTTCTATCTGACCATTCCCTGTGAGAGGGGGTTTGTAACTCAAGTAATGTGGCCAAACCTCTCCACTTTCTGCCTTTTTGCTACTTGAAGTAGAGGATGATGAAAATCAATTAATGCAGTTATGTCTTCTTCAGACAGGCTTCTAGTCTGCACACAGTATATCACATAGCCACAGAAATCTTTGGATTTGAAAGGGTTTTATGTTGTTGCTGCCCTTAGAAGTCTGACATTTGCATGTAGCTTCCTAAGAATACAGTCTCATAACAGGCTGTGTTTTCAATGCAATGAAGACATTCTTATCTCAGGAGAGGTTTACACTCCATTATTAATTATCAGTCTAAACATACAAAGAAAGGGAAGAAACACACAACAAAAAAATCTCAACTCTATCCCACACTTCAAGGCATAGCAGCAGAAACTTCTTTAAAACTTCTGGCTGTTAGAAAGCTGTGTGTTGTGCTACTGTAACTCCACATACACAAATTCTGCAAAAAGCATGACCCTTATTTTAAAAATACACAACAGACAGTAATAGCAATAGAAAAAAATTACTCAAAGAGGACCACATTAGACTTAAAGCATTGTCAGCATCTTTTCATTAAAAAAAAAGATGTTCAACCGACATTCAGCAGCAAAGGTGGTAAAAGAGTTCTTCCTTGCTTCTAGCCTCTGTATAGATCCATAAAGCAAGGCAGGATATGTCCCAACAAACTTCATGTGATTTCCAACAATGTCAATACAAATAACATAGTTGAAAAAGATGGCTCTACCTCCAGAAAACTCCTTTATTCCAGAAGCATTATATTCATGCCAGTGAAATACCTCCAGTGATTCACCATGGGCTGCTTGACTTTTTAACTCAAATAGACAACCTTTTCTAACTCTGTATTCAGAGGCAAGGTCAGCACAGCCAGAATCTGGATAAACATCCTGTTTGACACTCCCTCAGAATTGGAGAAATTAATCATTTTCACTCCACCTGTGTTGTTCTTGGCATGCTACTTAATGAAAACCCTTCACTGCAGGATGTGCTGCAATGACTGCACACATATATGAAGACTGACTGTGTTTTGGAAGTTACCAGGCCACTGCCTGACAGCAGAATGCTGTAGCTGGTGTCACTGCCAGCTTCTCCACCCAGCAGCTCCCCTCCTAGAATGTTTGCACCAAAGGGTGATCTATGCTCAGCCCTGTGGCTTCTCTTACTAACTGGTCCTAGATCTGCTGCTGCTGCTGCTTCCAGACCTCATTGTGGCATGGAGCTGCTCACGGGCCCTGAGTGCCTGCAGCATCCTCTGACTGCCACCCTCTTTGCTCCGTGTGACCTACGCTGTGCACGGTGTGATGGTCACTTCTGCTGCCGTGCCTGGCACCAGCATGGTGTCACGGCTCTGGTACCACAAGGAACTGGCACCGGTACTGGTACTGGAACCAGCACTGGGACGGTTACTGTTACTGGTCCTGGCACTGGAACTGAAACTGCGACTGGCACTGATACCGGGACTGGGCCTGGGACTCGTGCAGCTACAGGGGAGGTACTGAACACATGCTGGCACCAGAACTGGAACTGGGATTGCTACCAGTACTAGTGCTGGGACTGGTGCTTGGACTGGGACTGGAACTGGGCTTGGTACTCCTGCAGGTACAGGGAGAGGTACCTGAACTTGGTACCTAGGACTTGGTACAGGGAGAGGTACCTGAACAACTGCTGGTACCACAACTGGAACTGGGATTGCTACCGCTACTGGTACTGGCGGTGAGATTGGAACTGGGATTGCTACTGGTACTAGCACTGGTACTTGTGCTTGGACTGGGACTGAAATTGAGCCTGGTTTTAGTACTGGTAAAGGTACTTCGACTGGTTTTGGGACTGATGCTGAAACTGGGACTGGGCCTGGTAAAGGTACTGGTATTGGTATTGCCACTGGGGCTGGTATTTGTACTGGTACAGGTACTTGGGCGAGTTTTGGAACTGGGACCGGTGCTGGAACAGGGGCTGGTGCTCGGATTGGAACTGGTGCTGGCACTGGCACAGGCAGCGGTAATGACGCTGGAACTAGGCCTGGTACTGGTGTTGGTACTGGACAGGAATTTGAACAGTTTTTGGCACTGGGGCGGGAAGCGGTGCTGGGGCGGGCACTCCGCGGTGCCGGTATCGGGGCTGACACTGCGGCACCGGCATCAGGGCTGACACTGCGGCACCGGCACAGGCGCCGGGCCCGGGCCTGGGCCCTCCCCGTCCCTCCTGCGCGTCACGACAGCGGCTCCACCCCCGCCCCGCCCCCGCCATCATTTGCATGCCCACCCCCGACGGGCCAATGGGGCGCGGCCACCTCGCGCTGGCCCCGCCCTCCGCGGCCGCCGGTAAACGGAAGCGCCGGGAGCGGAGCGGGCCCCGCGCGCGCCCGGCCCGCGCGGCGCGGGCGGCCTGCGGGAGCGCGCCCGGCGCGCGCGGCCGCTGCGGTGAGTGCGGGCGGGACGGAACGGCCGCCGCCGCCGCCCCTCCCCCCGCGCCGCGCCCTCCCCCCGCGCGCCCCGCGGGCCGCCGCCCGCCCCGCCCCGCCCCGCCGCGCAGCATAGCGCAGCGCCGCCTGGTTGGGCTCGGGGTGGGAGGCGCCGGCCGCTGCGTGTGTGGGAGCGGCCTGCGCGCCCCATGCAGCGCTAGTGGTTCCGTGCCCGGCTCGCTCGCCGGGCCGTGCCCTTGAGCGCCTATGGATTCGGCTCTGGCGGGCGCGGTTACGGGTGTGGTTGCGACGGCGGCCCCCGGCAGCACGGAGCGGGTGCGTGGGGGCGCAGGTGGGAAGGGCGTTGTCATTGCACCGTGTGTCCCGTACCGGTGCTAGTGCTGGTCCTGCTCCTCGCCTCCCCTCCCGAGCCCTGCGGGCTCACCTCAGGCAAGTCTCCTCATCAGGCGGCGTGTTCCCTAAGGAAGAGCCAGCGATTCCCTCAGCACTGCCTGTGCTCTCAGCAGGATACTGTTCCACGTCGATGTTTGTAGGGACAAGGGCCTTTGGCAATAAAGCACGGTGTGCCAAGTGAGCAGGCAGCGCAGGAATCCAGACAGAGTAGTCCATTGGGATGCTGCTGTGTTTGTCATCATCTGGGTGGTGAGACCTGGCACAGGTTGCCCAGAGAGGCTGTGGATGCCCCGTCTCTGGGAGTGTTGAAGGCCAGGTTGGATGGGATTTGGAGCAACCTGGTCTAGTGGAAGGTGTCCCTGCCCATGGCAGGGATGGATTGAAACCATATGGTCTTAAAGTTCTCTTCTAACTCAAAACATTCTCTGAGTCTGCTCACTGTAACAGATGTATATCAGACAAACATAAGGTACTTATGGAAAAAAGGAAGTGCATGGCCAGTAGTAGTAAAGCCTTTCATTCACAGCGCACAACAAGCACTGTTCTTCTTTAGGAGGATGTTTTTCCTAAGAAATCTGTTTAATTTGAATTGTTCTGGTAGCTCCTGGACCAGTAGAAAGAGTGCTAATGATGGGAGTTGAGACCATTCTCAAAATACTACCTAATGCTTATAACTGATGTGCATTTTATTTTTAATTAGTTAGTAATTCCTTCAAATATTTTGGATTTGTGTCATCTTTGAGAACAGTTCTCTTGTTTTTATGGCTTTACATATTCATGCATTCAGGTGTTTCCTCCATAGTTTTAAAGTATCCTGGAATCTACCTGCTTACCCCAGACTTTGTGATGAGGGTAATATATGTGGATTGAATGTCATATTTTTGAAAGCCATGGGAATAACTATCTCCTTAGTAAATGGTTTATTCTGGAGGCCGAGATCCCCCTAGAGGACTCTAAGTGTGTTGTCAGGCACAGATAATCATGCCTACTCTGCTTGTACGGGCATGTCCTCTTGCTCAAAAGGCATCATTGGTTTGACTGATGAGAGTCAAGGCCCTGCACTAATGCTGGAGGGGAGCTGAGCTCACCACTTTAATGGGAACATGAGGAAACAAAACATTACCAAGAAAAGCCCGAGTTGCTTTCCTCAGCTTTAAAGAAGTGCAGCCTACCTCTGCCTGTTTTCAGTAGGATAGAACGTAGTCAAATACTTATCCAAGAGGAAGAATCAAATTGAAGGTGAAAGATTTCCACCAAAAGGTGTTGGCCAGTTGTGGTTTTAAGACCAAGGGAATGTAGGCTCTGTGTCTGTGCTGTAAAAGAAGAGATGTTGACAGATGCCCTCTGAAGCAGAGAATGGTTTTCTTATCTCTTTCAAAATACATTTTCTGTGCAGCTGATGAACTTTTGTGTAGTGCTGCTTGAATTTGAGGCAGCAATCCATACATGGAGCCTTGGGTAGGCTTTCATTTTCACTGAAATAGGGTTGCCCTCAGATTCTGCAATTTGGTGATGTTTTGGAGATCCACTTATGATTCCCCTGCCCTCTAAGCATTTAGATTTTTGTAACCCTTTGGAGCTTTTGGAGATTAGAGTACAGCCTATAGCTATTATCACAAAGAGATTTCTCAGATTTTTTTTTTTTTTCCAAACAACTACAGAAACACAACTAGCTTGGGAAAAATAGAGGGTGAAAGGTGTGCTAGAAGTGCCTCCTGCTCTGAACTGCTGCCCCAATAGCACTGGCCAGAATGGGGGTGCCTACTTTTAGTCTCCAGTATTTGTCTTCTTCAGGTCTCTATTTTTTCTGGGTTGAAGTGACCAGGAAACAACTGCAGCATCCAGGATACTAACTGCACATTGTTTGACTTGTGCTGGAGGATGTTGTTTCACTTCTTGGAAGAAAAAGTGAACTTGAGGACATATTTGGGAAGAGTGCCAAAGTGGTTTGCTTAAACAGTTAGAGTGGATGAATTGCTGACCTTTTCTGGGTGTGGGGCAAATTTTTTCTCTGTGAAGATTCCCTGAAACTTTCTTAGAATTTTTGCTTGGGGAGGTTGTTGCAGAAAGTTGACACATTAGGAAATACATGCAAATAGGGGTGAGCACTTTCAGAGTTTTCAAAATTTTATTGACAAACCAAGAATAAGCTGAATTCTGTCAGGGACTGTTGTTCTAAAGGTATTCTGGTATAGCTCTAGGTAGACTTAAACTTGTCTATCTGCTTTTTGAACTTCCATACCATGAAAAGAAGTTCCATAGGTTGCCATCTGTTTCATGAAGTTTTTCTTTTACTTGCTTTCAACTTGATATGTGCAGCCTTTGATAGGTATCTCCTCCATATGTCAGAAGAAAATGTGATTCTTCATTCCCTATTTGGTTTTGTCATGATTTTGTAGACCTGTGCTGTATCCTTTCCTCAGTTCTTTTTATTCCATCCTTCAGAATCCCAACTGTGGTAGTCATTGCTTGTGTGGGAGCCAGTCTTGCTTTTGGTGTGAACCTTCTCTATAAATACAAGTACAGAGTATCAGGACTTTTACTGTGCCATTTTTAAGTGGGTGCATTAGGGGGAAAATTCTAATTCAAGCAGTGGGAAGGAATGATCTACTGTGGTATTGCACAGTTAAATAATTGTATTATTTGTCTTAGTTTTAATTTGTTTTCTTACAACTATTTATGTCCAGTCTGATTTGTTCACTGCTGGTGAGTACCTAGTAGGTGTTTCCATCAACATCTCATTCTTGAGAAGTATGAATGAAGAGCCTGTTGTATATTTCTGAGTGGCCTTGACCCTACAACCATCAGTATGAAATTTAGCACCTCTCTCTGATCACATAAAGGCTATAGCTCTTGCCTTTACTGTCACACTTTACAGACAATTAATAAGATTTTGAAAGTATTTAGCTAATTTAAAAGCTAATACTGGATAAGTAGCAAATTGAGAATTTTTCTGTGGAAAAGCAAGAACAGATCCATCCTCAGCCTGATAGGATTTCTGGGGTTTTTTTTGGTTTTTTTTTTGGTTTTTTTTTTGGTAGTTATTGCAGATGTTCTTTATTTTGCTAGTTTTATAAGTTTCTCTAAACTTTTTTTTTTTCTGTGTATGTGTGTGAATGTTTCAGGAAATGCTTCAAGGACCATCAGAAGATGTGTTTGCAAAGGTGGAAAGTTCAGTTGAAGACATGGATACCTCCGATACCCAGTGGGGCTGGTTTTATTTGGCTGAGTGTGGTAAATGGCATATGTTTCAGGTAAATACCTATGAAGTTACATTGGCTCTGATGGATTCCATACATCAAATTACCTATGGCTGAGTTTGTCTTAATGTGCTTTTTCTTTTATTTTGAAGACCGACTCCAACAGTCACTGCAGTATCAGCAGTGAAGATATTGAAAGGAGTTTCCGAACAGACCCTCGTGGATCTCTGTCTTTTACCACTGCAAAGTTTAACTACACACTGGACTTTTCAGGTATGTGTCTTGCCAAAGAGTAAATTTAAATAGTAGAAGGTCTTATGCACCAGCACATTTATTCATTCAGCAGGTTATTGTCCTCATATCTGGTGCGAAAACATGACTAAGAATGTCTTCTTTACTGGAAAGTACATAGGAGTTTTTAGAAACAGCTGCCCTGTTACATTTTTTTGTGTAGTTTATTAATGAAGTAGCATGCTTTGTTTAATAGCACTCTATTGGATTTCCTACTGCTGCAAATGGCATGTAGGATACATTTCTTGAACTGGGAAGGTTGAACCTTTTTTCTTTTATGTGCAGCTGCCTGTAAACTTGGAAAACCTCTTCCATTCAGTGTTTGCTGTAAAGGATGTTTCCTGCAAAGTACTGGCATCAAAATGATTTAATAATTCAGCAGGTAGCTGAAGCCAGTTCTGTTCTCAGAATAACAAGGAGATAGGCAAAAGGATTTACTAATAGATCGTAAAGATGTCCATTATGCTGTTCTTGTAAATTACCGAGTATTACATGTTTCTAATGTATGTAACTAATTATAAATGTAATCTGTTCTGTGTTCAAAGGTGTGTTCTAGTAACTTTTTGTTTGGTTTTTTATTCATAGATGGTTTGTTTTCTGATTCAATTACAAAACAGCTATATGCTTAAATATAGAAAATTAAGGAAATAAATACATATTCCAATATATGTATCTAAATTTCAAATACAGAAAGTGGGGACTGAGTAAAACAGCAATATACAGGAAGTAAGATGGCATCTAGCAATACCACACAAGTTTTATGCTTACTTGTGTCTTTTTATACAAAACTGTGCTTTGTATTCAGAATAAAAACACTACACTTATAAGCTAATTTTAAGAACAATTTTTATATTACTCTCTTTAGGCCATGATGTCTTACACTAAGGACAGTGTATTCTTTGTCATCCCTTTCAAGTCAGTGGAAGTTCTTCCTGTGATTTAGTGGGGCTGAATGTTAGATGGATATTTTAAAAATGTTTTGTATGTGTAATATTTGGACATTTTTCCAACTCATATAGATGACAATGCATTTAGAAACATTTATTGAAAATGCTGATTTGTTACTTGTTGAAGTAGGAACTCCTGTCAAGTATCTTAGGGTGTAGTAACATTCTTTTAAAAAATGATACTTGAATGTTTCATATGCTGTAGATGAATTCCCAAAAATTTCATCCTAATTCTTGTTTTATGCTCAGTGATGAAACAAATCAACCTAACTACCCTTAAACAACGTCCAATAAAGCGAGCTCCCTTTGCAATCAATTCATTCAGGTAAGAAAATAAGAGGAAGACTCTTTATTTTTCTTTTATTCCTGCGTCTTCTAAGTAAAATGAAACCAAACTGTTTTATCTTGATTTTTTATATTTATTTGCTTTTGGAGTCGCTCTGAATACCTGTTGAATCAGAATTGCTGCAGGGAAACAGCACCAAAAAATGGAATCCATTGACTCCATATATTATTTAGAAATATTACTGTAACATCAAAAAGAGATTGACTTACATGTTGTGCCTATATTTTACTCATTTACTCTAAAATTATTTGGAGTTTAAAAAATTGTGTTGTAAAGATTCTTTTATGAGTCTAATTGCTTTAGATTGTAAATTTCTTACCATTTCATCAGTCATTAGATGGAAAGCTGAGGTGATGTGAATCTGCTAAACAATAAACTGAGCTATGCAGTGTTACTATCATAGGTGAAATTGAGTACATGGAATATGTGGGGGTTTTTCCCCAAATAGTTTCTGAGAAAAAATTTAGTTCTGAATTGTAGTGTGGTTATACATTCAAAATGAAATTTGTCATTTGTCATAAGAAATGTAGTAGCAATCTGTTTACACTGACTTTAAAGAAGACTGTGTTTTTGTAGTGCCAACATTTTTTCAGTCGATATTTGCTAAATAGTGCATACAATGATGTGGAAATTTGCTTTGTTCTTTGAATAATTGCATCAGCACTCTTATTTCCATATGGTGACATTTTTTACTTTCAGGAGATTCCTTCTTTTAGTCCCAGTTTTAAGGCTTAAGAGCTTCAATATACGTAATGCATGTGCTTAAACCATTCTTTTTTAGTAGCTCTGTATAAACTTCATGGGGGTTTGCTTTTTTTGCGTACTGTGTTGTTTGGAGCAGGAGTTTAACAGGAAGAAAATGCCTCATGTCTTTGAAGTGATGTGCTTTTACCTTTTTTGTTTGAAGTTTCATCTGTGAAAATGAGGCTATTCCTATGCCTTCACACTGGGAGAATGTAAATACTGAGGAGCCATACCAGGTAAGAGTTGGTAGGCAACTTGGTCAAAAACATGTGACAATGAAATAAGGCATCGAATTGAAATCGCACTAACCTCTTTTTTTTCAGCTTATTCCATTGCAAAAGAAAACAAATGAATATAATGAAGTTTCTAGTCTCTTTGGAAAAACAATGGATAGCCAACGAATTAAAAGAATTAAGAGAATACAAAATCTAGACTTGTGGGAGTTTTTTTGCAGGTGAGATTATTTCTAAAACCAACAGTTTTAGGATTGTTAATGGAAAAAAGTTTTAAGTCATGCAGTAGAAATATGTTTAACTGGTTTTATTATTAATGAAATATTTTGTTACTTTTTAACTTTTAAAATTTTTCTTCTTTGTAATTTCTCTTTATTCAACATTTAATTTTCAAGACTGTGTAGCTTCTACAGGTGCAGAAATGTAATATTTGTAGAAATGCATTAGATAAAGCTGTAGCACAGATAATATGGTTAAGATGTTGAGAATATCTGTGTGATAGATGCCTATGATCCTTACATTGAAGTAAGGAGAAAAAAAATAGCTTTTTGTAGAATGATTCCTGGAGAGGCTTCTATTATTTTAATTTTTACTGAACAGAGCAAATTAATATTTCAGTCTTGTTAAATTTCTCAACTTTATAGGAGAAAAGCATAGGACAGAATTAGGTGTCTAATGAACACATATTCATGCAATTCTTTTAAGTTTAATGTCCAGCTAAACCTTCTTTTAAGTTCTTGGTTTTTCTCTTTTCATATTGTGCTGGCCTGGAAGAAGTAGGAAATGCCCAGTTTGGTATCCACTTATTTTTTGGTGTCAGTCTTAAACAATTGTACTTCACAAAAGTTATTGGTGTATCTTGTAGGAAGGAGTGCATATCAGAAGGTTTAAAGATGTTTTACTCTAATAAAATAATCTAGACTAAGTTAAAGAGTGATGAAATAACAAATAACAGATGTATACTAAAATCTTGCATAAGTTATACAATTTAAAAAAAATATATGTGATTTATTGTTAATTTAAAACTGTATCAATATGTGTGAGGAAGTGAAATTCCTTATATATGTTAATGGTTAAGAGAGTTATCCTACTTTCAGTTAAGTTTCCTTTTTTTCTTGATGGAGTAAGGAAGAGGGTCAGCAGAACTGCTGCCTTGGACTTCCAGAGGTCAAACTTCGGGTTGTTCAGGAGATTGTTCGACAGAGTCCCTTGTGATGCAGTCCTGAAGGGCAGAGGAGTCCAGGAAGGCTGGACACTCTTCAGGAGGGAAATCCTAAAGACTCTGGAGCAGGCTGTCCCTATGTGCTGAAAGACAAGTAGTTGAGGGATAAGATCATCCTGGCTGAACAGAGAATTTTGGATGGAATTCTGACAAAAAAGAGAGTTTATGACCTTGGGAAGAAGGGGTAGGCAAATCAGAAGAAGTAAATGATGTTGAGATGTTTTGCAGGGAGAAAATCAGAAGGACCAAAGCCCAGCTAGAACCTAATTTGGCCACTGATGTAAAAGACAATAAAAATAATTTTTTAAAATAAGTAATCAACAAAAGGAGGGCTATAGAGAATCTCCATCTTTTGCTGGATATGAGGGAAACATAGTGACAAAGGATGAGGAGAAGACTGAGGTAACAAAGACATTAATAGTAAGACCAGTTGTTAGCTGGGCACCCAGACTCTGGGCTGGTAGACAGAAGTGGAGAGCAAAATGCTGCCCTCATAATTCAAGAGAAAATGGAACCTGTTACCTCACACAAGTCTATGGGAATGGATGGAACCTACTGGAGGGTACCAAGGGAGCTGGGGAGGTGCTCACTGAGCCACTTCCGACCATTTACCAGCAGTCTTGGCTCACTGGGGAGGTCCGAGTTGGCTGGGGTTGAGCAAATGTGATGCCCATGCACAAGAAGGGTAGGAAGGAGGATCCAGAGAACTACAGACCTGTCAGGCTGAGCTCAGTGCCAGAGAAGGTGAAGGAACAGCTCATCCTGAGTGCCATCACACAGCATGTGCAGGGCAACCAGGGATCAGGCCCAGCCAGGATAAGTTTAGGAAAGGCAGGTCCTGCTTGATGACCAACCTCACCTCCTTCTATGACAGGGTGACCCACTAAGTGGATGAGGGAAAGGCTGCAGTTTTTTTTAACCTGGACTTCAGCAGAGCCTTCAACACTTTTCCCACTTTATCCTGGAGAGTCTGGCTGATCATGGCTCAGACAAGTGCACTGTTTGCTGAGTAAAAAACTATCTGGATAGCCAGGTCCAGAAGTGGTGGTGAATGGAGTTACATCCAGCTGGTCACCAGTGGGGTCCTCCAGGGCTCAGTGTTGGGGCCACTCCTGTTTAATATCAGTATCTGGGATCAGGACAAGAGGATCAAGGGCACCCTCAGTCAGTTTGCAAATATCACCAAGCTGGGTAGGAGTGTGGATCTGCTGGAGGGCAGGAAGGCTCTGCAGAGGGATCCGGACAGTCTGGATTGATGGGCTGAGTTCACTTGTGATGTTCAATAAGGTAAAATGCCCTTGGGTCACAGACAGTGCTGTAGGCTTGCACATACTGGTGAAGAAATGATTGCCTGGTAGTATACTACAAAGAAATAGGTATTCCAGCATTTCAAATGCACTTCTTTTGGTGTCCCAGGTGGGAAAGTTGAAAAGAGGATGATGCTTAGTCTAGAATCTCAGTTTGGATTTGTCAAGGAGTACAACAAGTAAAAAAAGGTGTTGGTCAGTGAGATTGCTGACCAGTTTTAGAAAAAGTTTATATGCTTTTATATGCTTTATATGCATATTCCTTGTACATAGGTACAAGGAGTATGTCTCTGGGTATTTTGTTTTGCTGTAGATTTTACCTTTTATTGAGTGAATTGGATGAACGAGAATTTTCACAGTGCTGGATCAAGTTAATTTCGTTGAACTGGATTATCTTGTCACTGCTTGTACAAGGTGCTAAGATGATGCTTTTTAGAACAGTTGGACTCCTTCATTTCTGTTCCAACTTACCAAAGTGTCCTGCTGTGGCATTTCTGCATTTTGCACAACCAGCTTGCCAGTGTGCCCACTATATTTTACTGCTTAGGAGGAACAATTGTCACATAAACTTTTATGGTTTTGAAAAAGTGTTTTGTTTAATTGATAAGATAAAGGATTACATTTGATCATTGCTTGAATGATTATTTACATCACTGTAGTGGTCAGAACACATTTGCCTGTTACAATAGTTCCTATATTAATGACAATTCTAAATTGGCTCTATGAAATGAACTGGTCAGAGATAGTAAAGGACTGTCATAGAACATATTTTGTTTGTTTATTCACTTTTTCTGTAAATTTGTTCCATTCTGCTGTTTCAAAATAAGTTACTCAAGGCTGCATTTATATATTGTCAGAGATAACAGCCAACAACAGAGGGCTTCTGGTTGAAGAAATTTCAGATGTTCAGCATAACTAGCCCTTAGATTAGTTTTTGCTGGTTTGCCTAGATAATAGTGCTTTATAACCTACCAACTTTGTTATCCCTTCCACCACGACATTAAAGCAGGTGGAGGAAACAAAATGTGCAGAATTACCTTTCTTTTAAAGATGTATCTGCCGAAAATGACCACACTGAAACTAATAACACATGAACAATGTTGATAAAATTGGTGTAGGAAGACCTTTTTTCAAATCTTAGACTATGTTGGAAAATAGTCCTACAGCATTCAGAAATGTGTGATTTTTAAATATGTACCTTAAGAATTCTAACATGTTTAAAAACTAGAGTCATCTAGGTTCTTGTAAAGTGAAATGTGTTAGGTCTGTACTTCCAGCAGTGTTTTCACAGTAGTAATTTAGTGTGCTTGTACAACTATTTATTTGTTATGTGCTTATTTGTGTATTTATTGTGTGTTTTCTGTAGGAAGAAAGCTCAACTGAAGAAGAAAAGAGGTGTCCCAACAATTAATGAGCAAATGCTGTTTCATGGCACCAGTAATGAATTTGTAGAAGCAATATGTATTCATAATTTTGATTGGAGAATAAATGGGATGCATGCTGCTGTGTATGGAAAAGGTAAGTATTGCTGTCACATACAACAGTGACAGTGTAAATCGCTCAACATTAAGTTTTCCCTGTAGTGTGTACTTTGTGATGCATGCCTTGTGTTTACCCAAGAGCTGTTTAGATACAGCCCTGCTTTTATGGCAAGTATAACTAACGATGCAATAAGGAATGTAATTATTGCAACTGGCGGGTAGGGCCAGGGAGCATGGGGAAGGGATGCCCAGCAAAGCAGTGTGGATCACAAGACAATCTCTCTGCTAAAATGTTCCCACTAAAAATGTTTGCTCGTATTGTCATAATACAACAATTGACAACAAAAAAGGATTCCTAATGAACATAAAAGAACTGACATTTTTCATGATCTTGACAGCTATCCTCTGGTAGTCAAGCTGTCATGGTAAGAATGTCATCTAATTTTCTATGTTTTTTATTTGAAAGGGACTTATTTTGCAAGAGATGCATCATATTCCAGCCATTTCTGCAAAGAGAGCATGAAGCATGGAGATACTTTCCAGATTCATGGTGTGAACCTGCAGCCTCATCTGCACAGACCAGATAAAGTCATGTTTCTTGCTCGTGTATTAACTGGTGACTATATTGGTGGTGATTCAAAATACGTGAGGCCTCCTTCAAAAGATGGAAGCTTTGTGAACTTGTATGACAGCTGTGTGGATAATACCTGGAACCCAAAGATCTTTGTCATCTTCGATGCCAACCAAATCTACCCTGAGTACTTAATAGAATTTTGTTAAGTTTGAACTGATTATTGTTTGTGGTTTTTTGATACTTTTGTTCCTTTTGTAAAGGCAGCAACATAGAAACGATGAATGAAAGAGAGGTGAAAGAAAAGCAGGCATGCATTTATGGAGGAGGGAAGCTATTAAATATTTAAGACAGACTGGTTAACTGTTTTTAAAACTCTGTAAACTTTACTAATGCATTTTTCAAATGTAGAGACTATTACAAATCTGAAGTTGCTTAGTGAGCCTTAATTACATTGAGCATTGGTAAGTTTTCAAAGGCAAGATTTATGTTTTGATTTTCTAAATTATATTGAAAGTGGTTAGAAATATGCCTCTAAAATAGTATGCATATGAGGAAATTAATCTTTTATAAAGATTGCCTATAAAACAGAGTAAGAACAACAACAGCAAAACCCCAGGGGACATGGGGTGTGCATGTGTGTGTGTGTCCGTGTTCTGTAGTATGTTACCTTGGTTGGAGGTCTCTTAGTTTGGATTCTAAACCTAAAAAAAGAAAAAATATCTACAGCTTCTTCATCAATTTCCTCCAGATAAAGTTCAACAAAGCTGTATGGTTTAACTTTATGTACATTTTACTGTAAGCTTCAATTATATACTGGGAAAATAACAAAGCCCTTGCAGTAGGATTTGACTGTTGGTTTTGATGGAAATGAAGCCCATAAATTTGTGGTTGTTAGTTGTTTGGTATGTAACTGTTGGGCTCACTGTTGGGACATCAGCAGTGCCATACACCTTTCTCAGTTCTTATCCTGTGTAATTTTTGCCATCTTGTTGCAGTCTTCATGACCTGCTGTGATTCATGTCTGATCAGAGTTTAAGATATACCCGGTGCTCATATACATGGTGTTACTGAAGACAATGTTTAGATTAACTTAACTGTAAACAATACAGTTAAACTAACAAGGACAATTTCAAAATATGCCATCCTTTAGCTTTTAAACGCTACAATAGAAAGTTTTCAGTAACATTTGTGTAGATCAGGTTTTCATAACTGGTATGGTTGTAAAACTGAAGAGTATTTTTCACATGTAGAAAGAGCAAAAAAGACCAAAAATATTCAGGTAAAGAACAGACCTGAGAACCTAAACACATGAAGAGGCTGAGGAAGGGGCTGTTACTGTGAGATACACTGTTGTGTGAACCATCTGCTATGGAACTGTGTCCCTAGTTTGTCCTTTGTTAAAGGACCTAAGTAGCACTAATGGACAAAGTCAAAGTTGAAACCTTTCCAGGCTTTTTCTTTGGCTATGGCCAGTAACAAGTCCCTGTAGAATCAGTATATAATTGCAGCAGATATAGAATGATCTGTGTTGGTTTGTTATAGAATTGTTAATGGACTTTTTGGATCAAAGGCTATGTTTAAAATGTATTGCGTTTAAAGTCACTGCAGCTGCTGGCATGAGCAGGTCTGTTCCAAGTTGTACTAAACCCATGGAACTGGAAGCAGAAGATGACAACGTATCTGGCATCGTAACTGAGGACACAAATATCTCTTCCTTCTCCTGCGTGCTGTTACCATTGTCTGTCAGTGGATCTTGCACAAGTTGTTTATCTGTTTCTGTTTGTAATTTCATGGCAATTTTCCTGTCCCTAAACCATTTAGGGCTAAAATGCATTTTCCTTTATTTTAGGAAGTATGATTTCTGATCCCAGCTGGGAACTCTAGGTTCTACTCTTGTAGGTATGATTTGTGTTTGATTCACTACTATGCTAGCTCTGCAAAAGGCACTTTTTTCCCAAATTGTGTAAAATAATAGCGAATCACGCAGGGAATTTGTGTATTACTGAATCCTTTCTATTATTACACAGTATTCTACAGAGCATACATTTTGTGGAACTAACAAATACATGTGCTGTTGTTTCTTTGATTTGGTCTTTTATTTCTTCTGTAACAGATGTTTTTAGTTAAGAAAACTGAAGTTTCTTTTTTAGCACCTCATAGACACAAAGTACTACAATCTTTACTGATCTCTAAGACTTTTCTGACTGTGTGGTGGTGTCTTGTTTGCTGGTTAATTTGAATTGAACGGCACAATCTTCATCTTACTGCACAAGTTTTACCTCTTCTTTCAATGTTCAATGTGTTCTGCTTTTTGTGCTGATCAATTTTGTTATTGAAGATGTCTGTAAAATAACTGTCCTTTCTCTGGCAAGGGGAGAGTGATTATTATTGCAAGCAAATTGGGAACAAGTAGACAATGCAGGAAATAGTTGGACCTAATAAAAGGAACAGTGAGAAAGAAAGGGAGGAAAATAATTTCTTGGCCTTTAGAGTGTTAAAGAAAAGAGAAGAGATCTTGGTGTGATTCTGTGGAAGGAAACCTGATATTTTCTGTTACTGTTTCATGTAGTGAAACTTTGTTCTCCATTTTGGTTTTACACCTGTGCAAGGTGGCATGCCACTCTTTTACATGTCTTGATCTGAGGTAGAGCTTTCTTAGTAAATTATTCTTGTGCAGCCTGTTTTCACATGAGCACAGTACTTCAGGATGGCATAGAAAAATTAAGATCAGCTCATACTGGCCTCCTGGGCCAGCTTTGTTTTTTACAATTGGTATGTATTCAGTTATTGCTGAATGGATCTCATTTCATCCAGAGCAGTTTGGGAAAGTGTCTGTCTGCCTTCCAGTTCATTTACAAGGTCAGTTTGCACAAACTCTTGTTTTTAAGTTAGAATCCAAGGGGAGAAAAAAAGGATACAGCTCTGTTTTTTAATACATGTCCCAGTACACTCACATCCTGGCTGGAGTTGGTGACTTAAATTCAGGACTACATTGGATGCCAGTTCAGCTTGCGGCTTGAGGACAACTCTCACCTTTTTAAAATATTTATAGCACAGAAGATCATAGCAGGAAGGCTCAAGTGAGTCTGTGCAGTTTACATCGTGGTAATTACTTTCAGGAAGATGAGCACATGTCAGTCTTAAAATTCCTGTGACCTAAATGTCCATCAATGTAACTATTTTTAGGCATTGTCCAAAACAGCAGACTTGCAAAACAGCACAGGCCTACTCCAGTATAGCCACCTACTGTTCACAAGTCACAAAAAATACTATGGGGGCTGAGAGATGGAATACTTTGCCACATTTTAAAGCCAGCTGGCCTCTCTTATGCCCCTCTCTGTTAAGCTCCTTTGTTCCCCTTGACTCTGACTTCCCTTGTTCATCCCCCACCCCACTGGTGTGTACAGCTCCGTTGATTCCTGTATCCCTTGCAGTCTGATCCCCCAATACCATTTCCAAAGTCCAGGATGAAATAAACTTTCACACACTTACATGCTCTTATCTGTTAATATGGCTGACCAGGTTTGGTTCTCATCACTGCCTCCCGTATCATGTCAGCCAGGTTTATCCCTATACATTCCTGTTTTTGGCCCTGTTGTGTCAGAAAAGGTGGTAGAGGAGTACTCACTCCTTCCACATACTCATACAGATAATTGTGCAGTTTTAGTGCCATGTTTGTCCTAACTTGGGGATTTAGTTGGTGGGGTTGCATTTCATTCCTGTGGTAATTAATTGACAAGAGACAGCCAAGGTATACAACACCAAGACTGGAAATTTGCATGTTTGAGTGGATTTTTTAATTGGAAAGGGCTCACTTGAATGTACAGAAATAGGAGAGTATTTGGTGTATATTGCAATAAGCAGAAAAAAGAAAAAAAGCAGTGTAGTAGAGAGTATAGGGAAAGGACCTGTTCAGACAGTAATCAGTTCCATGGAATACCATAAAATGAGTTTCTCTTCCTTGTGTGCTTTGAGCTGTTAAGAGTTTGATATTCCTGTCATGTTAAGGATTGCAAACCAGCTGGTTCTGGCTGTTTGCACACTTACTTGCAGACATTTGAAGATTAATTTACTGCTATACTTTTAGAGTCTTTTGCAAAAGAGATTGTGACACCACTGCTAGAAACAAGTCTGAAGCCATGCTCTTCTCAGCTATTGACTTTATTGACTAGAAATGTCATTCATTCCTGTATTTGTATTTTGTCTATTGCCTTTGAACATCTTTGAGGTGTTTTTGTTTCAGTATTTTCCTTTCTAGAAAAACATTTTTGCAATTAGAGAGGGATGAAAGAAGTATAAGAAAGGATAAATGTACCAGCATTTGGAAGCTGCTGGGTTCATATCCTGAGACGGTGCCAGTCAGGAAGGCAGGTAGTGGAAATGACATTGTGTTTCCAAACCCATATCAGTTACATCCATTTCCTGTTTGTCTTCTAGCCAATAAATGCCAAATTTAATTTAAAGGGAATTAAATCCTACAGACACCAAAAGGAACAACCTCAAATGTTTCTTATCTTTACTCAGCTTCTTCACCTATACAGTTTTCTTCCCTTGGACTCCTAAAGCAATGTAATATATTGACCAATGCAGGCAGTGAGTATCTAACTCATGTCCAGGTTTTAGGAACAACAGAAGGCCTTGGCCTGCTCACCTCCCTTTTCCTGTTCCCATGCTTTGCTTGCATTCATGTTGCCATAAAGTGAAACAGATGAAATATCTGGAACATTGTTAAAAACTAATTTGGAGTGGGAATATGCTAATGCAGTGTATTGTTTTAAGTGATGTGTTTGGTTACAGACCTGGAGGTGACCAAGTAGCTCATAGATACAGTCTTTTTTTTCCAGTTGGTATCTACCTTTGAGCTGGTGAAAGTTGTCCAAGAAAGTAATCCCAGCTGAGAACAGTTGGTGCAAATAAGCCTTTCAAAGGATGATTGGATATTGGATACACTGTTGTTGTCTACGTATTAGCTAGGGAGATTACATTAAAAAGACTTATTTCTATAAAGAGACTGGCTGACACAAATACTATCACCACATATTTTGTTTTAACACAGCTGCTGAAAATACTGTAGCTTGACAAAGCTTTATCAGCTAATTACTGGATGTTTATGAAAGCGACTCAAATAGCAGCTCCAGGCTGATATTTTTAAATTGTTTTGATTTTTATTTTTAGTATAAGAGGAAATATGACCCAAAACAATGGGATAAGACAAGGACAAGAGATGGAAAATTTGGGGGTGTGGGGGGGGGAATCAATGGGAAGAAAATGGTTACATAAGTGAAAGGATGTATGAGTGTGCATGTTCACTGGGGCTGGTGATGCAAGAAGGGGAGAGAACATAATAATATTACAGCTTTAAATCTGTCCTTCAAAATTTTAAAATTCAGTTTTCATGCTGATGATCTTCCTAGATGTTTAGCAATGTTTATATATCCCCAGTGGGATGGAGTATTGGATGGAGAGCCAGGGGACTCTCCTGTAGTCAAATTTTTGTGTCTTTTGACATGTTGTAATGAGACCAGATGTACAGAAGTGGTGCACAAATGATACAGAGCTGTCAGAAGTGAGAGGTGTACCTACAGCACCTCATCTGAGCACTGTTTGCACGGGGGTAGCCAAGTGTTGCTGTCTGCTGTAAACATTACTGGTTAGTTCTGGCTTCTCATGGGGCCGCCATGTTTCCTGAAATATCCCCACTCCAGTGACATTGCACACATCTTGTCATTGTCTCTTCCATGACAAGTGTGTGGTATCAAATTTACTGTATTTAATCAACCACTGTAGTAAGACAAAAGGAGCAAAAATATTAGGGTTTGCCTTAACAAATCTGAGAAAACTGCTATTGCTCTAAATTGTCTGCTTCATGAAGTAATTGATTTCTGGAAAAAAACTGTCTTCTGTTGTGTATTACATGAGGTATTGCAATAGATCTCAATTTTTTTTGGCCTTTAGCTGCTGTGGTGGTAAATATGACCAATTTTCAAATTTCAGAATATAAACCTGTGCTGTCTCTTTGTGAAAAACAGGTTTCTATCAAGCATGCTCATAAAGGTGGTGAGTTTCTGAAAGTTTTTCTTGGATGCACAGAATCCCTCACTGAGCAGAATTTAATAGTCTATCTATGAGAATTGCATTCAATAAGACAATATAATTCTCTTTAGAGTAACTGTTAATTTAAAATTAAAATCCCTGAGTGGAAAGTATGTATCTAACAGAGCCTTGAGCTATCAGTGCACTTTAGGGCTGGAATCTATGTAATGCTTCTTCACAGATGGACAGCTTGTGGACAAAAATACAGTTTACCACTTCAGCATAAACGTGGGGGGAATTGGTAAGGCGGTATGTAATTAATGCTGGATTTGATCCAGGATACCTTTCCCGTAGGAGAGGAGATCAAGATTTTTAGTGACAGTCTTTAAAACACTGGTTTATGGTTCAGCAAACTGTGGAATATTGAGTAAAATTAGAACTGTATCATGGCACAGACTGAGAGAGAAGTCCTTCCACTGTACTGCTGGCTCCACATCCTCACAGGGAAACATTCTAAAATGGTGTTTTTCTTTTAAAATAAAAATTAAATGCTAATTCTTTTCAGTTTTAGAAATATGAAGAGTGTGGCTGTAAAATGTGATAGGAAAAAAACAAAATCAACTTGAAGAACTGGTTTTAATGTTCCCCTGGGAATGTTGTGGGTTTTAATATTCCAGAAATGGGTTTGCTCAGCCCTGAGGGAAAGGGATTGGAAAAGCATGATAGACATGAACATGCACGAAGACTGTACGTTCAGTATTAAGGGAGAAGAAATAGGTCACTGTGTATTAGATAGCTCATTTGGTTTCCTTTAAAGCCACAAGAGACAGCAACTGCTGAGCTGCAGTTAGGAAATTACCCTGTATTCTGAGGGGCAGGGCAAATAAGCAATGTGTCCTTGCTTTGGTTATACACAAATACACCTACCTGTTAATTCCCGCTTTCTTGTGGAGCTGATGGTGCCTTGCTGGAAAATGTGCCCGTTTTATGCAACAGCTCTAGTTATTCATGTGCCAATGCTGAGCTGCACATGGCTTAAGGAAAACATTTTTA